AGGCACATGCATAAGTAATGTTAAGTTGGGTTTCATAACTTAACCAAAAAACACCACCTGTCTGTGTTTACAGTGGGCCATGTGCGAGACATGCCTCAGTGTGCTGTGCCACTTAAATTAATGCATGTATTAGTTTTCCTTATATTTCCTAAAATAACAATTTTCTCAAGAAATGATTGCTCATTCAGTGCAGTACATAGGTTATATGCACTGAAAGGTGAAAAATAGTGGCAAAACAGTTGTCAGTAACTTACGTTTTTATCATTTGCATAGCAAAAAAATATAAAACCTGCTTAATATTGTGCATTTCAGACTATAATTGCCATAATCCACTCACGATCGGTCATCTCTTATTGCCTTGTAAAAAGTGTTCCCTACTAAAAATGTCCGAAACATATAAAGTGAATGGTTTTGTATTGTATAATTGTCCCTACATCATCGCAACTATATGGTGATGATTTAGGGTCCTGTGCTGTATGTTCTCCTTGGGTCATTTCTTGGGCTTTAAATTGTTATTAACACTGCATATTCATGGGAAAGCATGAAACCTTTAAGGGTCATATAGCTCCTAGGGAATGGAGATAATCAGGTTTCATCCTTGAAAAGGGAGAGGTAGCATCCCAGGTTCAGTTCTACATAATTTACTGTATAAAACTAACATGTGTGTTTAAAATTATGTATGTGGCATAAACACACAGGATCTTGAGCCTCAAAGCTTTCTTTAGTGCTGACGAATGGCTTGCCTTCCCACATCAGACTTGATTACCTTCCATTTCCCTGGTGCTGTATTATCCTTATGGGTTTACAGCAGTACCTTCCATGAATATAATACTACTACAGGTCCTCCATCACAAATCCGGCATCATTGGGACCTGTAGTGTGCCGGATTACAGAGCGGTTAGATTAGAATACACTTAATAAAATTAACCAACTTAACTTACACAAGAAAGTTCATTGAACATCGGCAAAAATCGAACATTTCCGCTACTTTGAGCCCAATTTCAAGGTACTTTTCATCATGAAACCAATCAAAATCATATCTATTTCTGTAATATATCTTCCATTCTATCAAATGAGACAAAAAAAACGAGAATACAACCATAAAAACCATACGAAAATATACCGCAAAGAGGTGGCTAATGGCTGAGAGGTGAACTCCCTTACTTATCGTTTTTTTTTTTTTTCATTTTTGGTGTACATTAAGAAGCATCTTTCCATCATACATTGCCCAAGTTTCAATAAGATAGCGCAACAAACAACTGAGAGAAAAAAATATTACCAAGAATCACATACGGCAAGCCCAAGCCAGGTACTGGAAATACGTCACTTTGTCCGACTTCTTTTGGGTTACCCTAGGTTCTCTACACATACACTGCTATGTATGATAATCTGTGTAACTGTATTTGTGTATACCTGAATAAAGTTACTCATTTACTTACTTTTATTCTGTTGACTGAGTACAAGAAATCACCCATTCACTTATTTCAACTACCCAATAAAGTGGTCAGAAATTGGCAGTTTGGCCAATTTCACACAAATTTCAACAGATGCCAATTTCAAAATAGGGTCCAGAATAAACAATGCAGACATTTTCTCTGTTTATTAGTCACGGCTCCAGGCCCCTCTTATATTACTCTTGCTTACCATTTGGAATTTTTATTCACAAAAAATAGAAGATTTACTGTTATGCAGACTACTGCATTATTGTAATAATTGTATAAATAATGTTAACCCATTCTGTGGATACTGACGTCATTTGTATACTTTTGAACATCACTAAAGAATAGAACATTTCCACTACTTTGAGTTCAATTTCAAGGCACTTTTCGTTGTGAAAGCAATTAAAATCATATCTATTTTTGTAACATATCTTCCATTCTATTAAATGAGACCAAAAAATGAGAATACATACAACCATAAAAAACACATGAAAATATATCACTATGGGGCAGCTAATGGCTGAAAAGTAAACTCTGTTATTCATGGTGTGATTTCTGTCATTTTTGGTGTACGTTAAGAAGCATCTTTCCATTATACATTGCCCAAGTTTCAATAAGATAGCCCAACAAACAACAGAGAAATAATAATAATATGTAATATCTTTATTTACTACATGTACATGCACAAGATGTACAGACCATAGCTGACATCAATGACATACTATTTTAGAAAGCCCCTTGTTATGCTAAGCATTTCAGGCAAATTAGGACAGTGTCCCAGGATAAGACCCACACCAGTCCACTAACACCCAGGTACCTAATTACTGATGGGTGAACATAGACAACAGGTGTAAAGAAACACTCCCAATGTTTCTACCCTGGCTGGGAATTGAATATTTTCCAAAAATCATATATGGCTAGCCCAAGCAAGGTACTAGAAATAAGCTACTTTATCTGATTTTTTGGGGTTATCCTAGGTTCTCTACACATATGCTGCTATGTGTGATAATCTATGTAGAGAAAATAGTTTTTTTGTTTCAGTTTTATGGTGCAGTATGAGTTAACCATGTGCTATACTCTGTTTTCTCTAATATAAGCTCCCAAGACAGGGATAGGAGAATGATACTTGTAACCCATGTCCTCTTCATACCTCTGCCGAACTGCTCGGTATTATGCCAAATATTATTCATTCTGGAGTACAATGGAACCTGTACTTGCGAGTTTAATCTGTTCCATGACCTTGCTCGCAACTGGATTTGCTCATTTGCAGAGTCAGTTTTTCTCATTTAAATTAATTGAAATGCAGTTAATCCGTTCCAGTGGAATTCTGTACTTCAATAATTTCGCTAATATCAACTCTACGGCTCCTTTATTTATTTATTTATTTATTTATTTATTTATTTATTTATTTATTTATTAATTTGAACATGATACAGAGAAGTACAAGGAATACAATTTTTAAAGTGCAGTATGCCAAAGCCCCTTGTATGCAGAGCATTATGGGCAGGCTTAAAATTAACTTAAGATTAACTAAGCAATGATATATTCAGTGGTACAAAAATTATTGTAAAACAGATAACAATTTAGTACAAATGAGTATTACAAAGACAGGTTATATGGTCATTTACTGTGTTGCTGTGTAATCAGTAGAATGGAGTATTCTGTTAGGTAATGAAGTTAAATAGTAACAAAGTTTGATTGGGTCACAGGTTGACATTTATGAGATACAATAATGAGATACATATATGAGATACAATTTATGAGATACAATTATTCAGTGTTTATTTAGTTGTGGGTGAGTAAGTGATTTTTGAGAAGAGACTTGAATTTATAAACAGACAGTGTTTCTTTTATATTCACAGGTAATGAATTCCAGATTTTAGGGCCTTTTATGTGCATTGAGTTTTTGCATAGTGTGAGATGGACACGAGGAACATCAAAGAGTGATCTGTGCCTTGTGTTATGGTCATGTGTTCTGTTGAGGTTGGTAAGATATAAATAACATAGAAACCTGATATATACTCTAAAATGGATAAAATATGTCATCATATACATGTATGTGGCAGCGGTGGCGGCCTACGAGAGTTTCTCTGGAGACAGGACAAAATACTCCTTGAATATTTCGCTATCATCAACTCTATGGCTTATTTATCTATCACAGTTCATCTAATATGAAATAATAAACAATATAAATAACCTAGAAACCTGATATATACTATATATTATTATACTATTTTTATTATATGTATTATTATTACACATTATTATTATTATTATTATTATTATTATTATTATTATTATTATTATTTTTTTTTATGTAAAGAAGCATCTTTCCATCATACATTGCCCAAGTTTCAATAAGATAGTCCAACAAACAAATGAGATACAATTCCCTATATCAAGAGCAAGAGCCCCTCACCAGCTTCAAGGCACCTGCCTTGAGGTCTGCTCGCTTATGGAAATTTCGCTCGCGTATGGAACCAAAAAACTGACCCATCAACTGCTTGTATTTGGAAAATCTCACACGTGGATGCGCTCCCAAGCAGAGGTTCCACTGTATTTAACATGTTTTTATGTTATTTATATTGTTTATTATGTCACATTAGATCAATTGTGATAGGCAAATAAACCTTAGTGTTGATGTTAGCGTAATAATAAAGCATATTCCCCTACATCATGAGACTGAGCTCATGGCAACCAGCAGTGGCTTTAGAGCCACCTTATCTTTAATGGACAATGTATGTACTGTGTAGGTGCTTTACACAATGAGAAGCATTTCTTTTATTTGTTGGAACCATGGCTAGAGCTAAAAGTAAGCAGGTTATAACAATAAATGGAGAAAAAGAAATTGGAATGGCTTATGCAGCAAGTAGCATCACCAAACAGTACCTGCAGGTTGGTGTGACGACCTTGCAAATTTGAAATTATGCTCGCCGAAATTAGTACCGAATAATTGATGGAACCGGATGTCTGATTGCTTGATTGCGGGATCTGTGATAGCTGACCTGTACTACTACTGCTAATAATAATAATAATAATAATAATAATAATAATAATAATAATAAAAAAGCATTATATTATATGTTAATTGTGGGTCAGTGATAAAGTTTGCAGCTATTCTTTAGCCCCAATACTGTAACTGTATTTATTCTTTCACATAAATACAGGTCGGCCATCACTAATCCGGCAGTCAGTTATCCGGTTCCATCAGTAATCCGGCACTAATTTCGGCTAGCATAATTTCAAATATCATCATAATACTAACTCAAATCATTATACTGGCTCAAATTTCATCATTATACTGACTCAGAATTTGTGCAGGTGGTTGTAAATCCACAGCAGCAAGTCAGTGGAGGAGAAAGCAGTGATGAAAATGAGGAAGATGTAGCAGAAAGAGTCTCTATTGATAGGTAAATTAAGTGTATTCTAACCTAACCACTCTGTAATCTGGCAAGCTCTCTAATCCGGCACACTACAGGTCCCAGTGATGCCGGATTAGTGATGGCCAACCTGTACACTTGTGGAGCGGCAAAATGGTTATCATGATTATTCTGTTCACAGCCATCCAGTCAGCAAACTTCAGCACAGAAGATGGTGCACTGGTTGATGGGTCTGACCACCCCTGTGATCATCTCACCGGCTCCTACCAGACCTGGTCAGTTAGTACAAAACATTTAAGATAAGAACAATTTATTTCCTAATTCGGTACATTATAGACTAATTTAAAATAGTAGGCTAACAATGTAGTACGAGGAATGGTTTATAATTATACATAGCATTAGTAATCACTTTATTCTTGGAGAGTATAATTCCTTGAATCAAGAGCATTTTGCCAGCATTTAACTTGAAGGGTTCCTTGATGTTGGTGAGGGGCTCTTGATTTAGGGAATTGGATCTGTGCTCCAGTTCCCCAAATTAAGCCTGAATGCCTTCCACATCCATCCCCCCAGGCGCTGTATAATCCTCCGGGTTTAGCGCTTCCCCCTTGATTATAATAATAATAATAACTTGAAGGGGCACTAGAGAAGCCCTTTATAAACATTGTTTAACTGAGGTCATGTTGATTGCACAAGTATCATTAAAGTTTCAGTGGTAGAGCATCCAGCTCACAATGGAAGGACCCTGGTTCAGTCTTTAATAATAATAATAATAATAATCTTTATTTCTACAAGTACATATACAAGGCATACAGGCCTAGCTGACATCAGTGACATACTACTATATAGAAAGCCACTTGTTATGTACAGCATTTTGGGCAAATTAGGTCAATTTTGTCCCAGGATGCGACCCACACCAATCGACTAACACCCAGGTACCCATTTTATACTGATGGGTGAACATGGACAGCAGGTGTCTTATGGAAACACCTCCCGATGTTTTCCAGCTGTACCAGGGATTCGAACTCCTGACCTCAGCGTGTGAGCTGAGTGCGCTAGCGATTGAGCTATGGGTGAATGACAATGGGCATGTTACCTTACACCTGTTGCCTCCTGTTCACCCAGCAGTAGGTAGGTACCTGTGTGTCCCTCCAAGTTAATAACCTGAATAAAATCTTGTTCATGTTTCCATACATTTATTACTCTGTTTCCCTAGCAGTAAGCAAGTACAGTAACTATTTGTTAGCCAGCTGTTGTGAGATGCATCTTGGAGAAAAGGGCCAAAGAATTCCAGTAGTAATATAAATAAGCTACATATTGTAATTTCTTGGGTTTTTCTGGTTACTAATCCACTGAGTTAAAAGTCCAAATAGTCTTACCCATCATCAAGGATATTTTAATCTCTAAAAGAGGTATTAAAGTTATCTCCATTATTCACTGAGAGATATATACACAATACACAACCTGCACATAGGAGAGAGGAGCTTATGACGATGTTTCGGCCCAAATCAGACTGAAACATTGTCGTAAGCTCCTCTCTAATATGAGACAACTCATTCAGAAATGTTCAAGAAATGTCAAGGTATTTTATCCACACTGGTATATTACAAACTATTCTGGAAAAATACCCTGACTTTGCTCACTGTAAATACAGTGGACCCTCGAATTTCATAATTATTCCGTTCCAGAGAGTGTGACGAAAGTTGAAATTTACGAATGGCAAAACCATTTTCTCCATAAGAAATAATGTAAATCCAATTAATCTATTCCAGACACCCAAAAGTATTAACAAAAAAATATTTTTTTTACATTAAAATATAGATTTACATACAGAAAACAGTGAGACATCAAGTATGTATAAAACAATAACATCACACTTACCAAAAAATTGAAGACTCTTGTTGGTGTATAGAAGACAGTTGTAGGGGAGAGGATAGAGAAGTTACACTATTGTTTGGAAGGGGAATCCCCTTCCATAAAGACTTTAGGTACCAAGTCCTTATCCAGGGTTACTTCCCTTCTTTGTTTTTTAATGTCATTAGGACCAGCTTGAGAGTCACTGGACCCCTGTCGCACAAAAAAAAAACTGTCCAGAGAGCTCTTGCCGCTCTACCCTCTACCACAATCACTGTCACCTTCTGCAACTATCATTTCCACCCTCTGCCACCATCACAACCACTACCACCCTCTACCATCATCACAACCACTACCACCATCACAACCACTACCATGCTCTACCACCATCACTACCACCCTCTACCACCATTACAATCACTGTCACACTCTCCCACCATCACAACTGCTATCATCACCCTCTTCCACCATCACTACCACCACCCTACCACCATCACAACCACTACCACCCTCTACCACCATCACTACCACTACCACCCCCTACCACCATCACAACCACCCTCTACCACCATCACAACCACCCTCTACCACCACAACCACTACCACCCTCTACCACCATCACTACCACTACCACCCTCTACCACCATCACTACCACCCTCTACCACCATCACTACCACTACCACCCTCTACTACCATCACTACCACTACCACCATCACTACCACTCTACCACCATCACAACCACCCTCTACCACCATCACTACCACCCTATACTACCACCACTACCACTCTCTACCACCATCACTACTGCCCACTACCCTCTACCACCATCACTACCACCATCACAACCACTACCACCCTCTACCACCATCACTACCACTACCACCCTCTACCACCATCACTACCACCCTCTACCACCATCACAACCACCATCACTACCACCCTCTACCACCATTGCTACCACCCTCTACCACCATTGCTACCACCCTCTATCACCATCACTACCACCCTCTACCACCATCACTACCACCCTCTTCCACCATCACAACCACTACCACCCTCTACCACCATCACAACCACCCTCTACCACCATCACTACCACCCTATACTACCATCACTACCACTACCACCCTCTACCACCATCACTACTCTCTACCACCATCACTACCCTCTACCACCATCACTACCCTCTACCACCATCACTACCACCCTCTACCACCATCACAACCACTACCACCCTCTACCACCATCACTACCATCCTCTACCACCATTGCTATCACCCTCTACCACCATTGCTACCACCCTCTACCACCATCACTACCACCCTCTACCACCATCACTACCACCCTCTTCCACCATCACTACCACCCTCTTCCACCATCACAACCACTACCACCCTCTACCACCATCACAACTGCTATCACCCTCTTCCACCATCATTACCACCCACTTCCACCATCATTACCACCCTCTTCCACCATCATTACCACCCTCTACCACCATCACAACTGCTACCACCCTCTACCACCATCTCTACCACCCTTTACCAAAGGGCTGGCACTAGAAGCTTTCTTTGGGCCCATGGTGGCTTATTTAGAAGTTGCAAGCACAAAAAAGAATGGAATACAGTGGACCCCTGCCTTACGAATGCATTGCGTTACGTTAAATCTGCCATACGAAGCATTTGAACATAAAAATTTTGCCTCGCCTCAAGATAAAAAACTCGCCTTACATGATTCATCTGGGACACGTCCCATGTGTGGCCTCAGCGCCAGTGTTTACAAGCCAGCCAGTGCGGTCACATCTACTCATACATTTGGTACATTTCACATTATCCCAGTGTTTTTAGGGCTTGTAACTGCAAAATAAGTCACCCTGGACCCCAAGAAAGCTTCTAGTGCCATCCCTGTGATAAAAAGGGCAAGAATTAGTATGGAATTGAAAAAAGAGATTAAGGAAATGTGTGCAAAGTGGGTTGAACTGTAAACCTTTACAGATGAAAATCACCTTGACACAGCTACTGCAAGCCGTGTTGGCAACCTGTACAATGACAGTGTTATGGCCCATTTTAGGAAAGTCTTAAAGGAACAGGAGGTACAGAGCTCTATGGACAGATTTGTTGTGCGACAGAGGTCCAGTGACTCTCAAGCTGGTCCTAGTGGCATTAAAAGAAGAAGGGAAGTAACCCCAGAAAAGGACTTGCTACCTCAAGTCCTAATGGAAGGGGATTCCCCTTCTAAACAATAACTTCCACACTCTCCCCTCCTCCCATCCCATCAATCATCACCAGATCTTCAATAAAGGTAAGTGTCATGTATTCTATTTTTAGTAGAGTAGTAATTGTGCATGTCTTCTTCAGTTTGTGTGTATTAAAATTAATATTTCGTGTGGTAAAAAAAATCATACTTTGGGGTGTCAGGAACGGATTAATTTGATTTCCATTATTTCTTATGGGAAAAATTAATTCAGCTAACGATAATTTTGGCTTACGATGAGCTCTCAGGAACGGATTAATATTGTAAGGTGGGGGTCCACTGTATTACGGAATGTATCATATGAACGCATGGAGTGATGTTCACTCGCCAATAAACAGTGCTATACTGACTGGTAGTGGTGTGTGGGGCGCCTTTGTGTTGGCTGATGCTGGGAGGCCACTTGTACGCATTTTGGACAAGCAATGAATGGCGAGCCAAATTATGAATCGCGAGGCTATATTTTGATGAAAAAAGTTGTCAAAAGTCGAAATTTATGAAGCGCGAGTCTTACGAAACTCGAGGGTCCACTGTAAAGCATTACCATGTGTGTGTGTACTCGCCTAATTGTGGTTGCAGGGGTCGAGACTCAGCTCCTGGCCCCGCCTCTTCACTGGTCGCTACTAGGTCCTCTCCCTCTCTGCTTCCTGAGCTTTGTCATACCTCTTCTTAAAACTATGTATGGTTCCTGCCTCCACTACTTCACTTGCTAGGCTATTCCACTTCCTGACGACTCTATGACTGAAGAAATACTTCCTAACGTCCCTGTGACTCGTCTGAGTCTTCAGCTTCCAGTTGTGACCCCTTGTTTCTGTGTCCCCTCTCTGGAACATCCTATCTCTGTCCACCTTGTTTATTCCCCGCAGTATCTTGTATGTCGTTATCATGTCTCCCCTGACCCTTCTGTCCTCCAGTGTCATCAGTCCAATTTCCCTCAACCTTTCCTCGTACGACATTCCCCTGAGCTCTGGGACTAGCCTTGTTGCAAACCTTTGTACTTTCTCTAACTTCTTGACGTGTTTGACCAGGTGTGGGTTCCAGACTGGTGCTGCATACTCCAGTATGGGCCTAACATACACAGTGTACAGTGTCTTGAACGATTCCTTATTAACCCTTTGAGGGTTTCGGCCATACTAGTACGGCTTACGACCCAGGGTTTTTGACGTACTAGT